ACCGCATGCAACATCTTACGGGGTATATGTATCTCAGTTAATTAGATTTGCAAGAGCTTGCAGCAACATAAAGGATTTTAACGAGCAAAAGATACTCAAACAGAGCTACAGCGATTATAAATTACGTAAATATTTTACAAAACTTTACAATCGTAACTTTGATTTAATCTCAAATTTCAAAAGTGATTTTAAAACACTTCTGCGACAAGGGATTAGCCAGCCTGATTTTTAATGGGCTGTAATTAACAAAGTTCGTATGATCTTTGGTCATTGTAATTTTTCTGTTGTCTTTACTTAAATTATTAAACTTTTTATTAAAAGGGGTTATGATCCTACCACATGCTTAGTGGCGAGACTCAATGATGGACAGTTCTTAAAGCCTTTTGGGACTGAATTGCCTTAATGTTCGTCTTCTGTCTTGCTTCGTTGGGCCCTTTTAGGTGATTTTCTTGTTGCTCTGTCTTCCTTTAAGACATTGAGTACTTTTGTTATGATCAAAGGGTTTTCTTTTATATGTTTCTACATGATCATTTCAGTGTTCACCTTTTATAACCATAACAACTGTTAGACTTTCACTTGTCGGGGATTCATTTTACTTACCCTGTCTCGTTTATAGGAACCTGGTGGGGTTAAGAGTGAGGTTTGGTGCACCATTAACCGGTTTAAACTCCCCAGCAGTACTAATGCTACTGACCGTTCCAAGGCGGCGCCCCTCTGTGTTCCTCAGATGTATGTCTTTGTTGTTACATACTGCTTTGGTGACATATTTGTCTGTGCCCCTTGTTGAATTCTCGTCTACGGTAAGTATCTTCCCTTTTGCCCCTTGTTTTATTTCTTTTATTTTGCGCCCCCCTTTCACCGAATCTCTTACCCCCTTCCCATGTGCCCTTTCTTGTGGGCCTATTAATTAATCATTTATTTGTTTTCTTTGATTTCCTTGTCGGTTACTATTATTTAATCTTATATATCATTTTAGTGATTAGCCCTCCGTGCTCTGCCTTGCGCTCTGTCCAGTTTTTGTTTGGGGTCCTCCTGGGTTCCTTGCCACTAGTTCTTGATGCTGGGTCGTGTGGGGGTTGTGTTCATTGAACGCCGCCTTTCCTTGTCGATCTTGTTTATCATATTTAATTAAACTTTATCATGCCACCCAAGGTTGCCCTGTAGGAGTTGCTCATCATGTTTTCTAAGGTGTATAAAAATAAGCAATGCTGCTGCCTTTTTTTTTCGGCATGCCAAAGATTTTGCGAGCGCTCACGAAGTAGCTGCCGGAGCCTGAAAATTTTGCCGGGGATCTAAGATGGTAAAAGATGCCCTCACGAATGGCCCGATGTTATTCCGATCAGATCCGAATTTGAACATTTCCTTTTTCATGTGTCCATCTTATGCCAAATTCGGGACAGGGTGACGCCTGCATTAGAAATAACGTGGCCAAAAATTGATTGAATGAATGAATGAACGAACGAACGAACGAACGAACACATGGATGGATTGATGAATGGATGGGTAGGTAGGTAGGTAGATCCCTCTAGAGCAATAAAACTCAAATGACAGATTTGGTTATACTGAATATTTCGAAAGGAAAATGAAAAATGCAACATGACTCCCGTCTAGCACCGACCTAAGCGGTATCTAATAATCAACACTAAAAGACATTAAATGTTCAATGATCCCGAAATATATAAAAATAAAACAAGAAGAGAGATGAAGTATGGGGCAACTTTTATACATCTGCAGTTTTTAGTTAAATGTTTAAAGGGAATTCCAATGATATTATATCTTAATTTTAAATGTGGCCTTCTAAACAATATATAGAAACACACAAACAAAACAACATCATCAATTAGTCCATTTGTCAATGACGCTGTGGTCCTATAACAAATACGTTTTAGTGTTTTGACAAACGCTCCTTTCAGATATTAAAAAAACATTCATACAAATTAATAACAAAATAAACATGAATTACTAGAACTATCGCTATCGCGATTCATACCCCCACCAATGTTCTTGACAGAAGACGACTTGGAAAGGTGGTTAAGGGAATAACTTTAGTGGCACAAATACATAAAGTTAAATTATCTCTGGTGAAAAAGAAGACAAATTGTACAGGTGATAGTATTTAAATAAAAAAATTTTCAAAAACTGTTTTTGAAAAAAGTTACAAAAAATAAAAGCAAATTAAAAAAAACCCCCAAACAGGAAGTTAAAAAAAAAGGCATAATTTTTGTCAAAAAATTTAAATTTAAAAGTGGGAAAAAATTTGATAATGTGCTTTTGGACCCTTATATATTATATATTTTTAAAATGAATATCTGTTCTAAATTTCAGAAAAAATTTAAATATTTTTTGGTTATATAAAAAATTTTCTATGCCTTTAAAGGGGGGAAAAACTTTGTGCCAAAAATTCAATGGAAATTTTTAGAATTTTCGTCATTTTGAGCTTTTCTTGTAACCCTTCATATAAAAATTTAAGTTTCAAATAAAATATCTGTTCTAGTTTAAGAAATATTATAGTAAATAAATTTAAAGACATAAAAAAATGACTTAACTTTGTCAAAATACAATACAAAGTTATCCCCCACACTTGTTTTTGTTATGAAACTTGACCTGCAATATCTTACTTGCGACACTTCGTATATATTTGAAGTTTCAAATGATTATCTGTTTCTAGTTTTAGAAATATTCAAGTACATGTTAAAATTTCAGAACATTTTCTAAGTCAATTTTTGACCTTCATCTTAAGCTGGCACCAAGGGTAAGATGGGTTCTGCACATTCCCCAGTTAGGGTGAACATTTGAGTCAAGTTGGAAGAAAATCCTTCCATTAGTATAGAATTAATAGAGAGGACACGACATATGGACTAGTATTGATTGGACTTGTAAAAAAAAGGGGCACAACTTTTTGTCAAAATGCAATACAGATTATTGTGACACCTCACATATTCCTTTTAAGTTTCAAGCAAATACCTTGCAGGGGTTTTAAAAAAAATTTCCAAAAAAATGGGGTTTAAAAAAAAGTTTTTTTAAGTCAAATTTTTGACCTTTTAAGTGTGGGCCTTGACCTTAAGCCGGGGGGAAAAAAGGGTAACAAAGGGTTTTTGACCTTACCTTGTTGGGGGTTTAAACAATTTTAGCCCCAATTTTTAAAAAAATCTTTTCCCCCTTTGTGTTTGGAAATTACAGAAACGGACACGAAATACTGTTCTAATTTTTTGATTGTTTTTAAATTTTAACCCTTTAAAATTGGGGCCAAAATGGGTTTGCAAATTCCCCTTTTTTGAGGTGAATTTGAGCCAAAATTTTTAAGAAAAACCCTTCCCAATTTGGGATAAGGGTCTATTTGAGCGGACAAAGATTTAAAGATGCGGAACCCAAAAGGCGGGGCCGACCGACGCGACAAAACGAATTCCCTTATAGCCCCCCCCCCCCACCAACACCCTTTTTGGTGGGGGGATAATAAGTATTATAAAAATAATAAATAAAGAAAAGAGTTATAAAAAGGTATTTGGTTTTTGTTTTGCTGAGGGGTCATTCCCTCGTCCAAAATTTGGGTTTCAAAAAAAGGTTAAAATATGTACTTTTCTTAAAAACCCTGTCGGGGTACGCGGGCAAAAAATGATTTAGAAAAATAGAAAATTTTTGTCCCTTTTCGTCTAATTTTTGGTTTATTAGATTAAAAAATTTGAAAATCTAAAAAGAAAACTAAATTAAAATGTTAAAGTTTCTATTTGGGTTTGGGTTTTTTAAAACGTTCACACACTTTTTTTAATTTTTTTACATCATTGGGTGCGTAATTTTTAGTCTTTGCAAAATTGTTTATACTAAAGAAATAAGTATTATGATAATTTTTATTTTATATGCAATCAATACAAAATTTATTTTAGTTCTTTATTGCAGGAAACTTGAAGCTTAACCAGCACATAGTTATGAGTGTAAAATTGTCAACAGCTTACCCCTGGACGGGGTTCGAACCTTTATGTATGTCAAAAAGTAATTCCCATGTTTCATCTTCAAGTCAAATTAAATTTCACTCAGTATGATGTTTAACGTTATGTATTGATCAAATTATTCTGAGGATTATAAACACATTTATATACATTTGTACACCAAATAACATATTCTGATAAATGTGTACATGATAAGGTAGTGAACTGTTTTGTTTTTTAAAAACGATAAAATATAACTTTATACTGTTTAAGCTACATATGCGGTGATTAATAAACTGCTCTACGATAACCTGACGTTAAGCGTAATTTGATACATACATTTAGTGTATACCTTTTTTACATTTAACTATGTAGTTCATGTATATCAATTTGGGTTTACCAATTTTAAGAAACTTATGTCACTCGTACTCGTACGGTTCAAGATCACGTATAAATTGTTAAATGAAATAAAATGTCTCAACGACTACTTGGATTTCTCGTCTTTCTCCTCTGTTTTATTTTGTTTCGAGCAAGAAAAGTTACGTGTTGGCTTATTCTCGATGAAATGATTTCTTCGGAGTTATCGTTTGGATTTAATCAATCTGTCAGTTATAAACTACAACCGAAAGAATATTCAAAGTTGAAAAATGAACAATTATCAAACATGAGTATGCTTCTCTTCATAACTTTTTATATACCGGCGGTTCTGAACACTTCCTCAAAGTATAGACACTATCAATCATACACCGGGGACGACGTGTTAAAGTCTTTTAGTAAGGGAAACCTTGACCCACATCTTTCCTTTCTTCGAGAGTTCACAAGAATGCCAGTACAGGAATGTTGGACTTTTCCTTCTTCGCTTGGAAAATATCTTAACCAATCGGAGACTACAAGGAAAGAAGACTGCATGAATTTTGAATGGGGTCGATTGAAAAATTTTAAAGTTTTTTCCAATGGTTCCAGGGGCCCAAATGACTGGGGGTCAAAGGGGTTTTCTTCTTAACGGATCAAAAACATTTGAATGTTTTTCTTGTCATTTTTAAACACGGGTGGCAAGAAGGGATGTCCAAACTCCGAACAAGTTTCTTTCTCCAAATTGTGACTTTGTGAACGGTACCAGTCATTCAAATGTGCCAATTAATCCAATATCAGAAGCTGCTACAGGCAATCATGGTTATCAAACAGATGGGGCTACTGGCGGAGCAAGTTTTGAGGAGAGTGCAAACGTATATACTCAACACTCTTTCCAGGCAGTGTCAACTAGCAATACGGCGTCTACAACTTCAAGGTCCATTACTCACAAATACCCGAATTATAAAACAGTTCAAATCCGACTGGATTCTTTTGATGGATGGACAAGTGCAGAAATAATAGAACCGATTGTTCTAGCCAGTGCAGGATTCTTCTTTGTCGGTATAATCATATTTACCAAACATTTTACCAACTCGGGCATTGTGGGTTCAAGGAATAATTGGGCCACGACCACGTGCCTTCATATGACACCATTACCGGTTAGATCCGGGAACCGAAATTAAAAGGGATTTATATTAGTTGCAAGCACTTGTTTCGCAATAGAGCTTTTCTAAATATGTCTAAACTAACATCCAGTATAACTGTTATACCAATTATAAACATAGGTGCAGTTTTGCTAAAGAATTAAATGACCTTCAACTGTATCTTCAAAATATTCTATGATTGTGAGTTATTTGGAATCATTACACAAAACGAACATTTATTTTCTATGAAGTTATTCCTTTCAGTTTCTCGTTGTAATTTATTTTCTTTGTATAATACTAATACAGTTTTAACAATTACAGGCATGCATGATTGTGTCAGGTGTTTTTCATGTGGGGGCGGGCTGCGAAACTGGGAGTACGGTGATAGTCCGTGGGAGGAGCACGCGAGGTGGTTCCCATGGTGCAGATTTCTGATTGAGGAAAAGGGACTTGAGTTTGTACGGCAGTATCAAGAACTTCAAGTAGAGTCTAACGATGAACTTCCAAAAGAAAAAGTAAGTTAATCAGTGGTTTATCTAAGTTTTCACTTTAGAGCGTTACTATTTTTAAATGTAAGATACATTGCCGGATTATAGGATTGTTCATTCTAAGGATTTCATAATTCCCCTAATGATACACTTTATTTTATTTTTACTTCTACTTGGGAAACCTTAAGTTTACTAATTGGAACGCGCTAAATTTAACTAACATTTGATTTACTTTTCAGATCATATCTGGAGCAGAAATGTTAAAAACCTTAGAAGAAGATAAAATTCTCACAAATCATCCAACTGATCAAAATGGTGATAAAAATGAGTTTGAAAGAAGGATCACAAGCAACATAAAGGAGCAACTGAATGAAATGGGCCTTTCATATTCTTCTGAACGAATAAGACAAGAAATAAACCGACTTAAAGATATAGGCATGTAATATAATCTATAGCACAGGAAATATCTTATGTATGCTAAAAATAACACTACGATAAAAAAGAAGGTAGAAAAAATAATTTAGGTTTAAACCTCTCTTATATAAAAAAGAATTTAGATGTCATAAATATTCGCGCTTTCATATTTCATGAAAAGTGACATTGTTAAAAAACAAGAATATCACCAAATGAACAAGTAAAATATTTTCTAAAAATCAGTTATTTTGGTCACTTAACTTTTTAAACGTGTCAAACATGATTTTTAAGCCCTTAAACATGTAGACATATTCAATAAAGCCCGGATAACATACAAAAGTTTTATATGGGATATTGTGTTATCAAACATTCCTTATTCCATACATACCTTTTTCCTAAAGTTTTATCTTTGTATTTTTTTAATCTTTCTTTGCTCATCTGCAGGCGATGCAGCCTACATGTATAACTACTACTCCGGTCACCATCATGTATATTTGAGACGCGCCACGACAAAACCAACATAATGGGTATGCGACCAGCATGGATCAAGACCAGCCTGCGCATCCGCGCAGTCTGATCAGGATCCATGTTGTTCGCTTACAAACTCTATAACAAGTAGAGAAACCGATAGCGAACAGCATGGATCCTGATCAGACTGCGCGGATGCGCAGGCTGGTCTGGATCCATGCTGGTCGCAAACGGATTATGTTGGTTTTGTCATGGCGCGGCTCATTTATAGATACATTAGTAGATTGTTTAATATTATAATTCTCGTCCTTTCAGATCATCAGATTTTAACGACAGAATTTGTAATCACAAACCTTATTGATAATGCTGAAAATTTGTTGGAAAACCATGAACCACTTGATGTTAACAAGACAGAAGAAAGAAGTCTAACAACTAAAAGTGTTTCAATCGATAACACTCAAACAAACAAAGAAACTGATAACGGAAATTTACCAAACGGTAATTTTTGTTTTTGAAATCATTTCTTAATAAGTTGTTCGAATTTATTTCCTTCATACCAACTTTTCAGATAATTTTCTACTATATCTCACCATTTTGTCTCAGTGAATGGTATGTCTTGATAAAGACTGCATATAGTTTCCTTTTTGATTTTAAATGAATTCCGGTCGATGGTTTGTAGCAAACAATTGCAGGTCTACATATGCTACAAAAAAGGAAATGACGTCATTTCACCCTAGCTATCGCATTGAAATACTCATATGTTCTGTTGATTTAGAAAAGACTCTACAGATATTTAAATAAGCATTGGAAATAAGATATTTTCAAACTTTTCAAACTACATTCGTATCAAAGCACACTGTACATACTGTAAAAAGACCCCCCCCCCCCCCCAATAAAATGATTAAAAATGAATTCAGATATTTAATTTTAAGCAGACGACACAAAATTTTATTGAAACATGATATTTTCAGATTCTGATGTATTACAAGAGGAAAATACGAAACTAAAGAGCCAGCTGCTATGTAAAATTTGCATGGATAGCGATTCTAACGTGGTCTTTATCCCGTGCGGCCACATGGTCTCGTGTGAGAAATGTGCCCCACATATCCGGAAATGTGCCGTTTGCAGAGTGCTGATTAAAGGTCGTGTTAAGGCGTTTATGTCATAATGTTAAAATGTCACGTCAAGGCGCTTATGTCTTAAAGTTCATGTCTACTGTTGTTAATAATTGCTTTTGATATTGTTTTAATTTTATAAGATTTAAAATTATCATATGTTTTTTTTCGTGCCAAACGTTTTCTTATTTCGTTTTAAATGAGTGTTGCATAGGCATATGTCAGATGCATATTCCTTAGAAGTATGTAACTCTTTATGTAACGCTTATAAGAAATTTGTCAGATACTTTTCCTTTTGTACATTCATTTAACTCGAGAAAAGTTTTTTTTTCTAAATTAATTATCTATTTTTCTATTGAGAGTTTATCCATAATGAATGAACCTTTTTTTTTAGACATATCGGTTGGCTATTTTTTAACATTAAATCGAATATGTATTTACTTTTATCTTTAATATTCAATGTATTAACATTTTTCGGTGCACATTTACGAGATTGTTATTGCCTGTTTTATACAAATATATATATAGTTATTTTATACATAAAAAGACGTATCTAGTCCACATACAATTTTCTTTAAAGATCTATATATCTTATCGATATTTTCCTCCTTTAAAAAACCTTTGATTTTGTCCTAATTCAAATGAGCAGGGAAAACGTACTCTTAAAGCTATATTAGTATAATGCCCCATCCCAAAATGTATTTTGGAAATAATATTCTTGTACCTTGAATAGATATTTATGAACCAAATAAGTTGACTTGTAAGTATAGAAAGGGCACCATACACTGTATATTTTAAAGATATAGCTTATCAAAACCAAACATTATTTTGCATTATTCTCGATGGTGTACTAAATGTAAATTAACTACATAAACGCCTTTGATAATGTAATTATATTAACTAAATTACAGATTGATAATGATATATTTATACATGTATTTATGTTGAAATCATTTATTGTTATACATACTATATACAATCGCTTTTTGTATTGTTTGTATTGTATACATTTTTATAAAATGTTTTTCCGTTTTTGATAAGCTTTTAATGAACAAATTGTCTTTCCTATAATTTGTCTAATAATTAAGAAAAAAAAAGAAGAAAAAAATAATAAAAGCATAAAAAACAAAAAAACAAAAACAAACAAACAAAAACAAACATAAAAAAAACAAAACAAAGAACAACAACACAAAAAAACCAGCAAACAAACATTTTATATGTGTGAACATGCTGAGCCGATAAATTATGTAAGTGAATATCCGCCTAAAGTATATCTGAATGTTATTAATCAATGTATTGCATTCTTATTCATACAAATAAGATTTTTCCTCTATGAATATTGATTTATATACAAGAATGCAAATTTTCAAATGTATGCCATTGTAAGGAATAGTAATGAAAATTGTTAATGCAGAAATATTATCAATGACAAGCTTTTGTGAAGTAAATATCCAATCATGCTTTATAATAGTGTCAAATTATTAGCCGTTTATGCAAAGTGAAAACTGTTTGTAAATTTTGTTAATAAAATATGCTTTATATGATTATTAAAATCCAATGCTTACGAATGTTGTTGACTAAAATTTAAGGAAATTTTTGCCTGTCCGGTCAGACGAATACATTACATGCATATATTGGAAATAGCAAATGTTTTCTAATAATTATAATACATTTATTATATTTTATGTTAAATCAAATAAAAATTTATGTGTGCTTGTTGTGTTCATTTGTTTGATTGAAGAACGATAAGTCTAGCCTTTTCCCGCAACAACATTATGCATGAATAATATGCTTCGTCTAGTCATTTATTTTAGTTCTTTTTGGTTCTTTATTTAAGTTTTTATTTGTATGTGTTGTACGTTTAATTTCCTGTTCCATTAAACTTCTTTGTATGTGTCTTTTGTTCCGTTGAATGTAGTTCTGTTCGGCCGGACGTTGTCTGTCTATTCATTGTGTTTAAGTTTCTTGACTCGTGTACTGACTCAATTCTGTGGACTACATGTTTTTCACATATGAGAAAGTTTCTTAGCATTTTTAAGTTTCATTTGCGATTTTTTTTCTTGTCCATTGTTTGCTATTCTGTTAAGTTAAGTCTTTTCCGTTGTTATCTGTCCTGAAATGTTCCGTTAGTTCTTCTATTTGTTTGTTAAATCTTGTGATTTTTCTTTTTTCTTGTCTGTATCGTTGATGTTATTGTGTTTCTTTTGTCACGAGAAATTCAACTTATTGGTGTTTCTTATTGTTTGTTCCATTTTTTCCCCCTGGTGCTTTGAGTCGCTATACGCCATGTGAAGACCCTTTTATAGGTCTATTGATTCCTTATATCGTGTCTGTCTTGTGACATTTCTTTTATCAGTCCTTCACGGTATATGTCTTGTTGTCCGTTCTTGTTGTCTATACGTCTTTATGGGTCTGACTTTTATTGTCTTTTCCATTGTTGGATGAACTATTGTCAATTATTTGTTTATTTGTCTTCTGTTATCGGTCCTCATTTCCTTTTCCATTTTAGTCTTTGTGTCTAATTGCATTATGTCTCATGGTCTTATTTCGTTTAGTGTATTGACGTATGTTCCCTTCAATATATTGTAGGAATATTGTAGAATGCTCCTGTCGGATTTGTATTTCTTTTGCCGCCTGTTTCGCTATTTTCTCTTTTCTGTTAGTGTATTGACGTATGTTCCATTCAATATATTGTAGGAATATTGTAGAATGTTTCTGTCGGATTTGTATTTCTTTTGCCATCTTTTAGATGAATTGAAATCTGGTCAGTTTAACCTGTATCTGTATTTTAACCATTAAGTCTTTGTTTGTATCTTCTATTCGTTTAGTCTATAGAGTTCTATGTTCTGGTTTTCGTCAGTCTCGTAGTCATTTCATTCTTTTAGTGGAGTAGCGGGGGATCGAACTCACGACCCCTTGATTGGTAGGCAGACAGTGTTACCACTGCACCATAGCGCCATGTTTTTGAAAGTCCTGTAGTACTTTATTATTTCAATGGCTAACAAAAGATGCATTACAATTAAATTTTAACACCTCTACTTCGGTAGCAACCCACGTGACTTTTTACATATTGTCAAAGAGAATATTACTCGATTTAAGTAATATTTTTATAGATAACTTTGCTGTTACTTTAAGATACCATGGAAATTTAGTGGAGGGTACCCGAAATTCTGAGGTATATCAGATGGTGTGATAATCTTCTTGTAGAATATTCCTAAAACCGAGACTGCATTCTGAAATATTCAAGAGCTTCTATGGTATCGCAAGCACACGTACTAATTTTCCGATTTCAGACATTTAAAGCAAATAAACGGGCTAGTTTGCATTATGTATAGGTTAGTGTTTAATAATACATATTAAGAAACGTTTAACGTTCCACGAGAAACTTGTCATTAAATTCAATTTGATGATAAAAGAAAATGATAGGATTGTTTAACATTGCAATTTAATTAAGTTTAAATAAATATACCGGGCAATTCATACAGCATAATGTATTCTTTGGGTATCCGTTGTTATTTGTGAATAAGGCTAGTGTTATCGTTCTTCAATTTAACAAATGGACACAGCAAGCAAACATGAATGTTTTATTTGATTTGACATAAAATGCAATAGATATAATATAATAACTAGAAAACTTTTCCCATTATGTAATGTATCCACATGTCTCTATTGTTTGAAGAGGCCAGGAATCATTTCCGAAAATTTATATTAATAACATTCGTACGTAAGCCTTGAATTTTAATCATCACATAGAACATATTTTATTAACAATATATACAAAATATACAAACAGTTTTCACTTTGCATATGTCATAAAACATAAACGGCTAATATTATGACACTATTATAAAGCATGTATTTGATATTAACATCTACATTATAGTTTGTCATTGATGCAATTTTTGCATTAACAATCTTCATTACTATTCCTTACATCGGCATACATTTGAAAATTTGCATTCTTGTATACATAGAAGGAAAAACATAATATGTATGAAACATACATTGATTTATAACATTCTGATATGATACATATACTTTTAGCGGATATTCACCTCCATAGGGGATGGGGGTGGGGATTTGCACGTAAAAACGACATTCAAGGGCTGCATGAACGTTGTGCAAAGAAAAATAGTTAAAGTGTAATCTGAAAACCCTTTTTATGCGCATGTGTCTGGTTCTATTTTTAGATTGGGAAAACCCAGCAAGTGATTACGATATTATGATTTATTTTTATGCTGCCAACCACCCTTTTAACCATATAATAACTGTTAAAACGTTAGTTTGCTGACGTGTTTCGTAAAATAAATCAATATTTTTAATGAAATATTCATCATGATCAATATAACGTTCTAACCTCTCATTTTCTTATTGATCTAATCGATGGAAATATGTATTATTGCTTCTGACGTTATCAAAATTAGTTCATACAGAACATAATTCTTTTGTTGTAACATTATTACATAGTTTATTTTAAAGGCTTACATAAGATGATTTGTTTTATATCTTATGTACACAATACATAGGAATTTCACACTGTGATACATAATTATACTTTGCTAGTGCGTTTTAGCATTAGTCATGTTTATGTACATATTTATCTAACATTAAACAGTATTATTTTTAATAATTATGTGACTTTTTTATATTGAAACGGCCATCCATGCAAAAATGGGAAAATATAAACCGATCTCGTCAGTTCTGAATTCCACTGTTCTTAAGAAATGACGTTGAAGGACGGGAAAAAAAGTGTGTGCCACCACCAACACCACATATGTTTTATATCTCATAACCTTATTAATCACTCCCAAAATAAGCACCAAATAAATAATAAGGTGATAAGCAGAACCAAAGGAAAAACAAATGTGTTTGAAAGCGCATTAAATACTTCACGTTAGTGTTGTTATATTTTTCTGTTCCTTCGGGATCAATGGTTCCTACACTTTAAAGGGTTGAAAATTGAGTACCGCTAAACCGGGTGCTACGGATGGGGCGTGAGGGATGATTCACTATTTCATAATCTCTCATGTACAGACCCATGTACAGACTCAATCAAACCGAGTCTACATTTTTCGTGTAATTTTGATATTGATTAATGCTTCCGAGGGATCAAACTTTATCCAGATTTTTACGGAAGAGATATATGTCCGGAGAAAATATTACGTGTTTAGCATCTTGTTATTCGGTGAAGGGCAAGATTTAGTGCTTACAGCTATTGAATTCAGAGTGGAAATGAATGTTTCGATAATTACTTAGCTAGGAAACTATGACATTCGTGCTTGGAAAATGTCAAACTGAACTTGAGATTTACCTCCGTAGTTAGGAAAATGTCAAACTGAACCGTAGCTAGGAAAATGCTATATTTAAACTTTGATATGCTTTCGTAGCAAGTGAAAGGATTTATTATATACTTTTCAATGAAAAATATCGATGAAATAAATAGCATATTTTCATTTTCCGTTTTTTTCACTGTACACATTTATTTTTCACTGCAGTGAAACATATTTTCCGTATTTTCACTGGTGGTTTCCCGGACTACTTGCATCTATATTAAGATACAGAAATTTTTAAATCGCAAGGTAAAACAATTTATAATAAACATAATTTTTTTTTTTATAAATATAGGATTCAATTTCATCGGATGGTTTAAAAAATGATCCTATTTCATAGCACTAGATGAAAATAAATCTTGAATATCCTCTATGTATTGATTCTTAGATATACTTCCGTAGCGTAAAATGTTATTGCCAAGCGTTGGTATACTCCCTTTACTAGGAAACTATTAAATTCATTCTTAATAATTATAACTCCTTCATATACTTCCGGAGCTAGGAAACTGGTATTTCGAATCTGAGATAAACATGTACATGTACTTCCGTATCTAGGTCAGACATTCACATTGATATTCCCATAGACTTACATTATAAGAAATGGTCCCTAATCCTACCTAAAAATATGTTAAAGAGGTGATTTTTCTAGTAGAATGATATGCCTGACACATAAAAATGTTCATGTTATATAGGAGTAGCCAACCATTGTTTATGCAAAATGACTTCAAGAGGATTACCCCCATTTCATTGGAATTTTCTGCTGATCACAGGACTGACATACACTTTTTATAAATGCAAATATCCAAGTCAAAATTATCATAGAGACTCATGAAATATTTCATTTTCTTCAGAAAACAATGCAGTATTACTTTCTAAATTAGTTTTTATACTTAAAAATACCCCATTTTCATTCAATCACCTCATGTATAAATTGAATCATACGGTTTTCCCTGCACTTTTTTCACCCAATCGCTGGCCATGCTACAATGCGATACCCTGGGAAAATGTTAATGTTGCTAGCGAAATATTATATGAAAGATGGAAATCAGCAAAAAAAAAAAAAAAAAAAAAAAAAAAAAAAAATGAACACTATTCTCTCTTGTGTCCTATAGTATAATAGGTTAGTAAGAACAAACCATGCGGTAAGACATCAATAATATACAAAATAAGATATCAATGTCACGCATAGATATTATATTATGCACTAGACCTAAACAAATTATATTAGAGACACATTTTCATATTGGCAATATAATGTTGACAATCTTAAATGTTTTAACGAAAAATACACAACATAATTATGTTGATGTAAATAAGAGTCGAGTGTCGGTCGAAAGAATATGAATGAGTCAAATACTTTGATAATTCAGTTAAAAAAACATATTGAGTTATCTTATTCTAGAAATTACACATATTGAACATGTTGTTTCAATGTCATTATACTTTATCCCTATGTGTCCTTGTTGTTTTCTTTCTCAGAAAGACACACTGGATATGAAACATTATTGTTTTTGTATAAACTTTATGTATAAAGATATAATTATCCTTATTATTACGGAAGCATAAAATTTGGAAAACCAAAACGTTTGTTGAACTCATGTAGAACTAGTGTTTAATGACATTGGGATTTAAAATGTTCTCGAAGTTGGTCCTGTGTTTAACATTTTACGGTGTTATGATCCTATATATCATGTCCGTTGTTGACAAGGTACGTCTTCCTGCAGAAGTGAATCCAATTGGCGCCATGTTTTGGGCATTTTCAGAACAGTTGCTAAGGAATTGCAGATATGGAAGAAAACAAAGATCTCTTTTATTAAGTATATGTTTGATTTTGTGTATGTACATATTTACCATTTGGATGTTTATGAACTCTATAAATACTTCTCATACCAATCGAAAACTGGTACTGAACCCAAGCTTTTTGTCGGACAGAAAGGAGCTTTTTCGAGAAAACTTCTCTTTGAAAAAATATTCATATTGCAAGTATGGCCATCATTCGAGGGAAATACCGCTGGATTTTGTGGTACGGCAACAATGCTGGTTGTTTCCGTCGTCACTGGAGAGATGTTTTAAAGAAATGGACACTGGAAGCAGTAGGTCAATGTTAATGAGATATGAATGGAAAAGATATGAGACATTTCAAACATTTCCAAATGATTCACCTATGATGCCAACGCGCCTGGCGTCGAATGGATTCTACTATAACGGGTCTGAAGACAGTGTCACGTGTTTTTCGTGTGGGCTCGTATACCGAGGTTGGAAAGAAGGCGATTCCGTTTCAGAAGTTCATGCACGTTATTCACGAAATTGTCTTCATGTTAGAGGAATTGATGAAACAAATGTGAGGATACACACAGAAGACAGCGAAGGTGCCACGGGTGGTTACAACAACAGCTTTGGGATTGGAAATGTCAACATACAAAGTGACGGACGCTCATCTGCGCCAAGCGGGGCCACATTAGTTCAGTCACAGCTTCACAAGCATCCCGATTTCTACAGCTATAACTCAAGGTTAGAGTCGTTCAAAGACTGGCCTTGTCGAGATGTGAAAGAACATGAACAGCTTGCAACGGCTGGATTCTTTTACATAGGTATATATCACTGCATTACAGTGCATGCTTTCTTTACAACTTGAAAAGAAAAAAGCAGGCATTTGTATAACAGACCTTATTTTTCGGAAACGATTTCAAGTTAGTTATAAATATCGTTCACGTTTGCTTACCTTTGGTATATATTTATTTATAATCTATAAGAATAAACATGAATTAGATTTATATATAGTTTTGATAGTGTTATCGTATAAAAAATAGTGATTATGTTCAGTCGGTTATTGTTATTAATAAATAACATGTGAGTAAAAATGTGAACAAGTCATGTCTATTGTTAAAAATCAAACAATATGTTACATGATATCAATTATTGACCAGGTTTAGGAGACTGCGTCAAATGCTTCTCGTGTGGTGGCGGACTTAGAAACTGGGAATTTTACGACGTACCCTGGGAGCAACATGCCAAATGGTTTAATCACTGCGCTTTTCTGAGAGAGCAAAAGGGATTGGAGTTTATAAGGCACCACAGTGACGTCAGAATTGACGCCGATGAAGAGAGACGAACGATACCTGTAATTGTAAAATTTTATAAAAATTTACAAATCATAAATGCCAATCCTCTAACCTACCGAATTACCTACACTGTATTTTAAAATGGAAATTTACGTTAGACTTCAGTCCCCATTATGATATTCACCATGTGAAGCATTCGCGTATAAAAATGAAACTATGACTTAGATTCTATCGTTTCCTCGCCCATATGGTAATTTTACCGGTGTCGAGTGAACAAACCTAAACACAGCAACAGTTCTATGGAATAAATAAGATGCACTAAATGGTTTATTAATTAGTAAAGTGACCTTCTTAAATGCTTCTTATATAAAACTTCGTTTCTAGATAAAAAATTACTTAAGAAATAACTATAAATCTTGTTTAATTTAGCAAACTAATATTGTCTCCGGACTAGAGGAACTAAGAGCATCAGAGAGGTTGGCTCCCGGACACCACGATGATTCATCAGCCGATATCAACATTGCCATTCCTGACAAAGAATTGAAAGAACCAGTTATGGTAGAAAAATCACCGGCATTGAAATCATTCGAACAGACGCTTGGTCAAATGGGGTTTAGTGAGGAGAGCATCCGAAATAGTTTCAAAAGAATTGGTAAATAAGCATGCATGTCCAAATTAAACACTGCTCATCTTTTATAGAACTAACGATATTTTTATTTATGGTATGGAAATAACCTATCCTTTCTGTTTTACAGTTGGAATTTCCCAGGGTTTTCCCAGTTTTATGTGCGTATAAAATAGCTTGCGGTAGTTTTAACTTTAGTGTCAATTAGGTTTACATTAAACTTCTCAAATTTCCCGCTTAAGTACGAATCAATAACTCGAGTATTATTGTTGGCTCGATCCTTCATATGATGAGTATATGCAATGAAACATCTTGTGGCAGCGCAGGGTTTGATTATTTGCACGGAAGCTTGAGTAAATTATGAAAGAACATGAATATATACTTATATTTGAAACATACCAATATACAATGTAGTACGATCGACCTATACATACATTAAATCTGACAAATCTAAAAAGAGAAAATTCGCTAATTTGATATTGGAAAAGCTATTAACTAAACATGACCTCTTCCAAGTTCAGAAGCAGACAACTCCATTAAGTTAATTCAGGAGGGTAAGGTTTAATGTAAATTTATCTCCAACTATTTTTATATATATTTGTAGAAATCACTGACGTAACAGAGTCGTCTGCATCTAGAGTATTAGACGATTTGCTCCAAAATTCCACAGCACGTGACCAAGAACAAGTAAAGGAGTCTTTAAATACAGTTGAATCAACATCCGAGCCAGTGGGAAGAAGCAAAGAGGAAGAATCTAGCATTGAAACGAAAAATACAACAAAAAATATGCCATCCGAATTAGGTAATAAGAGGAAAATCTGATGTTGCTTTTTTATACTAATTCCGTAAAGTAAAATCATGTAAAATCGTATGAATTGTTGAAATCTTACATTTTAGATAACCATATAATTATGAACTATTTTAAACATATAAATATTTTTACAGATCCGTCGGCATTAAAAGAGGAAAATGAAAGACTGGTGGACCAGCTGACTTGCAAAATATGCATGGAAAAAGAATCAAATATAGTATTTATCCCATGTGGTCACGTGGTTTCTTGCGAGACATGCGCACCGCATATCCGGAAATGTGCCATCTGTAGGAAATTGATAGAAGGTCGTGTGAAAACATACATGACATGATTGACATACACATCTGCTGTGTTTTTTCGGCTGCAGAAAGATGTATACTATTTTATTAAAGAAATTTGCAAGTACTCGTCATTTGATGATTGTTAACGGACCGTAAATTTCATTAGGCTTTTATAGGGTTGGTTTAATAACGATTTAGATTGAAATATTTGTTTGAATCAAAGGAGTAAAGCGACTTTTGATAGACGAATGTTTGCTATACAATACCCTCCCCGTTGTTCTAGCCCAGAGACTTTGGCTATTTACGCTTAAACCGCTTTTGCAGAAGCTCCAATTGTTCCAATTTAAAAGTCTTTGAAAATAGTGTTGACAAAAGTAGTTCTAGCAGTAAAATTTGATTTTCTATTTTATTTCAATATAATATTTAAAAAAATGTAAACTTAGTAATGCAGAAAAAAGCAACAATAGACATGTACTAAAATAACATTCACCAATCAGTGTTTCCAACAGTAAGCCTAAATTAACTCACCAAACTATTCCAAAGTTAATGGGAGGGAGTAACGCTCCAACTTAACATTATTAAAACTCCATTTGGTGCTTGGCAAGTTTGACTCTTGCTGATATCATTCTGCAATTTACGACAATGGCATTCGGAACAACTCGGCGATCACAAAAGATCTGTATCCGAAGTTTGCCGGAAAGGGGCGAAAAGCATCGATTGATCACAACTACAGAAAACAGAATGAGGACAATTTGTTGATTGACATGAGATGATGAAGATTAAACAGTGTTTAACCCGGTGTTAGGGGGCGTAGAAGATACTGTATTCGTGCTCGAAAACTCTACAGCAGGGTTTTTACAAATTGATACTTGCTTCGCACACGTAACATTACACGTGAAGGACAGAGAGTAATATGCTTGTCTGTTTGTAAATATTTCAACGAACATGTAAGATTTGTTTCAGTTATTTATGTAAATAAATTATTGTTTTTTTCCTACCTACTTCCGTAATTTATACATGTATTATCAAACGCATTTATAAATGCGAATTATTATGGTTTGGTAAAATAAGAAAAAATCAAACACTTCTCAACTTAGCCTAAAATTACAAAAACAAACAAAAGTTTTCAGAGTATAAAACAAACAAAGGGAAAATTGAAAATAAAATGACACGTAGTTGTAAGCAGTATGTCAAATAAAATGTTAAAATGCAGATTTTTTTAAAGTTTCATACCAAATGAATGTACAATTATAAGGCACGTATTAATATAGAATTCAAGTGTTACGAGTTCAAATAAATTGTTTTTCTTTTCATTGATAATTCTATGTCCTGAAAGCTAAAAGCAATACAATACATATAGATAGATGGATAATTTATTGACGTATACATTTATATACATATACATGTATACCATTTATTGACAAACAAACAAATGAATGGACGAAATAACAAACAAACGCCCTACAATAGAAATAAACAATTTATTGACAAACAAATCAACGAAAGAACGCATGAACAAACAAACACAAGGGCAAACAAAGAGAAATATATCTTACCTGTAAACATATAACGATTCTTCACGTATTGTTTAATATCCCTTTTCCTTTAAACTTTAAAAAATATCTTTAAAAACCAGTTTCTACGGTTCTTCTTATTCCTATTCAATACTATGTTTTAATTAAACCGTCATGCGTACGCTTACGAAGCTGTTAACAAGCTCCGTACCCCCAACTGTTCGAATTATGTTCTTTTGTATTTTTCTATATGTCATAAAAATGACCCTCCTACACTATGAACCTAAATGAAAATTTTTCATTTATTATTTATACATTTATTCCCTACGAATATAATAAGTCGTAACTATGTGACTGGACAAGGTCTACCTACGTAACACACGTTGGAAATTGTACAAAGTGTCTGACGAAACGTTTGAAAGCGTATATACATATAACTAGGTATTTTTGACAAAGGCAGTAACATACATGTACGCGTGATGCAGTCATTATCTACATGTATAGTGCTTTATCAAACAAATAATGTTACATTATGAATAGTGAGTTTGTAAATTCCGATAAATTTCCAATGTAAAAAAAACTATAAAAATCTATTTTGCATTTTTATATCATTCTTACGTGAACTAAATATTTTTACAAATTAATGCTGGAATAAATACACAATTTTGATAAAAACGAAAATTTTAAGGTAATTTGGGGGATATTATTTTTTTATTTTTTTAAATACCATTTTGGTTTATAAATTTTTTTGTTTTCGACCCACAGTGCCCCGCTGGCCGCTAGGGGACAGGTCCTTTTTAAAAATGCACAATAGAAATTTTTGACTAAAAAGGGTGACCCTAATGCTTTTAAACGTTATGGAGTTAGAAAATATTTAGCCCCATAAAAAAAATTTAAATAAAAAAAAAATCGCTAAATTAGTAAATTTAAAATTTAAAAATTGACAATTTTTTTTCTGTTGTTTTAAAAATTATAAACAATACGTTGAAGATATATTTTCATTCAAACGAAAAAATTTTTGAAAATACCGACTCTGCTTTTAAATATTCGAAAAAATTTTACAAAATAACGATACATAAGTACTTATATAGCACTTTGAAATCTTTTTGGAAAACCCAGGTTTTGCTTTTTTATATTTTATTTAAATAACCTTTTTCTTTACATTAAAATTTTTTTGGTTTTTATAGAATAGGGTTTAAATCACTAAAATAGTCAAGTTAAACTAAATATACACTGAACTGAAAAAAATACTTCGCCTACGTTTTTATACATGTATTTCAATTATTTGGAATTATTAAATTGTAAATTTCATTGTACATGTAGTTAGAACTGTAAAAAATCTAAGATAAAATATTGTAAAAAGAAAAAAAAAATCGCCAAAATCTTAGTAAAAGGTATTTACTACAATTGATTATTTTATGCCAGCAACTGTTACCATATGAATAAAAATGATATGTTATCACATAGTGAAATGTTCATAATCTACTGTATCAGTTTCGGATTCATTTCCGGTCCACGACTGCACTGCTCGCATCCTTTGCTCGCGGAGCTATTCGTCTTATTCAACAACAACAACTATATACACAGATGTTATTTAAAATGAAAATCGAATGTTTTCACATTATTAAATCTTATATCAACAGTTCATTAAAAAATTGGCGCAAATTTACGTGTGACTTTGAATGGTCAGTCTGATGCATGCCAGTGGCACGTGCACTTTTAGAATTGCACGTGAATCTTTTTTTTTTTAAGTTTTGAAGATTATTTTATTTTCGTTGTTTCTCACGTAAAACAATTATTATGAATAAAAAATTTTTTTTTCCCCCCTTTCAAAAGCAGCCCCATTCAACCACATTAAAAATTGGGGAAAATTTGAAATTTTGTTAAATTTGGGAAAAACGAATTTTAATGTAAATTTATTCCAAAACATGGTTTCATCAAAAAATTTAAAAATTTTATTTTTAATACACTACAAAGTGAAATATAATGTATTTTTTTGGGTTTTTAACGACAAATTTAAGGTCTAAATTTTTTTTTTTTCTTTTATACTTTGCGGGGACATTTTAACAAAATTTTTCCAATTGTGCAAGAATCGATCACCAAATTGTGGAATGCATATTCTTATTATAGAATTGGTATAACACAGAAATAAAAGTTACCTAATGCAATAAAGCTTACGTTGCTCTAAAAATATTTTAAAAAAAACACCCCAAAACATTAGAGTTTTATATTAATATATTTTAATTTATTTCATGGCTATTTATAAAATAATGACTTGTATCTAAAAATAACTTGGTATTTTATGCTATTTTAAGCTCAATAAATAGTTACTATAAATAACCTATTCTGGTTTTCCCAAATAAACCAGTAGCATAGAGAGAGAGGTACATTTGCGCTGGTTACATTTACGAACATTGACTAGTCTCACTCACTCACTCACTCACTCACTCACTCACTCACTCACTCACTCACTCACACTCACTCACTCACTCACTCACTCACTCACTCACTCACTCACTCACTCACTCACTCACTCACTCACTCACTCACTCACTCACTCACTCACTCACTCACTCACTCACTCACTCACTCACTCACTCACTTCACTCACTCACTCACTCACTCACTCACTCACTCACTCACTCACTCACTCACTCACTCACTCACTCACTCACTCACTCACTCACTCACTCACTCACTCACTCACTCACTCACTCACTCAAAACTCAAAAACTCAAAATAACTCACTCAAAACTCAAAAACTCACTCACTCAAAAACTCAAAAACTCACTCACTCAAAAACTCACTCACTCACTCAAAAACTCACTCACTCAAAAACTCACTCACTCACTCAAAAACTCACTCACTCACTCACGCAAAAACTCACTAAAGAACTCACTCAAAAACTCACTAAAGAACTCACTCAAGAACTCGCTCGCTCACGCACGCACCCAACCCGGAAAACTATATTATACCCACTACTAAATCACCAACCTTAAAAGCCCCGTTGTCTTTTTACGCACCCTTAAACCACCATATGATTCCCCTACTGACTGAGGGGACCTACTGACTGGAGATCATATATTATTGTATTTATTTTAGTTATTTTTGAGCTCTAAAGATGAAAGCTTTATTTTAGGTTTCGGTCAATTTAAAACCAAAAATTTCCCCCCCAAATTTATTTAAAAAAACATTTTTTTCTTTTTAGTTAGAACTTTAGACAAGAAATTTTCAATTTTTCTCAAACCGGGGTAATTTTTTAGTGACGGGCGACCTTGGTTTTTACCGTGGGGCAATTTGGGAATCTAAAAACACAAAAATTTTTTAGGGTTTTAACATAAAAGTTAGTTTGCCTTTTCGTAATCAGAACGAAAATTTAAAAAAAAAAACCAATCAATTTTTTTTAAAATCTAAAATTAGTTAATGGAAAAATGGAATTTAGGTTTGTTCCCTGTTCTTTTAAATTTAATTCTCAAAAAATTTAATATTGGGAATTTAATAAAAATAATTTTAATGGCTTCATCCCCAAAATTCCACCCTTACTAGCGGTTTTCGGTGAAACTTAAAAAAAAAATAATTTTTTTGAAATTTCTTATTTTACTACTTTGATTTTTTATTTTTTTGTATTTCATTTTGAACGTTTTGTTCAACAGTAGTTAAAGGGAAAAAATTTTTAATCGCCCCCAGGATTTTCTTTTTTTTTCCAAAAAACAGGGAAAATAGGGAAAAAAAAAATTTGACTATGGGTGATTTTAAGGGCGGGCAGGAAGAAAAGGGAAAAGAAATCAAAAAAATATCCAGGAATGGGTTTTCCATAGTCCCTGACTAATTAGTTATTTAAAAAGACTAGATTCATTTGTCGAGTGTAAACTTCATGATCGTGTTAAACCTGAAGATCTTGCGTCGGCCGGACTTTTTTACGGAGGTATGGATATTTTACATTTTAGATATTATATCTATTTTTAGCATTTACAAAATATACTTGGTTTCCCAAATAAAGATTAATGACGTGTCGATTAAAATATTCACAATATTTGGATTTATTTGAAAAATACCCTTTTTAATTTACATTGTATATAATTATAATTTTCATAGTTAAAAAAAACCCCAAAAGTTTTTAAACCGGTTTAACTTGATTACTGTACTGAGCAATGCAATTTGACCGATTCCAAATTTAGTTGGCATATCAGTCTAATAATTTGAGAAAGAGACATTTGTTTTATTTTTCAACACGCTATTTTGTTATAAAAGAAATATTGAGATGTATGCATGTTGTGTAAACAACAAGTATTGCAAATGGGATCCCAAAAAACATTCTTCAAAATTCCCGCCTAATGCAATGAAATATATAGATCTACTTATAAATTTTCAGAATCTTATTTGTAATACTTTGCAACATTGAAACTTTAAAGTTTTCTTTAAACTAACTAACATTAAGTCATATCATTTCACATGCAGACGATTAGTATGCTACCATTTCAAAATACAAGTCCCAGTACTAAAGGAGAAAATAATCCAAACACATCTGTTATTTTAGCATTTGTTCTAAAAGTCACTCATTATGCTTTTCTGACATAGTTAAACAATAATAAAATACATATAAGGTGTAAAATAAAACAAACATACCTTTCTCTGCCAACAGTAGCTTTTTCTTCATGAAAGAATTAACGTAGTTATGCGCATGCGTGCCATGAAGCTCGCGTTCGAAGATGACGTACGTTTATCACGTATATAACATGTGATAAAATAAAATAAAATATTAGTGCGTAAAAAAGTTTAAGTAAAATACTTAATAGGAAATTTAGTTGCACATTGCATTTGGGAAAACCCATTTTAACGTTTTTTTCTCTTTGCAGACGAAAAATGTTTTTGCAACACTCCTAAAGTAGCATTTAAAAATATTTGGAGAAAAAAATACTGATGTTGAAAATGTAATAAATTATTCCTTTTTAGGAAGGTACGACGGAGTGATGTGTTTTTCGTGCGGTATGGAAATGAGAAGCATAAAGGCGGAGGATGACCCATGGATATTGCATGTGAAGTACTCCTCAAAGTGTACCTTTGTTACACAAGAAAAAGATCCCGCGTTCATAAATGCCCATGCGGTGGACTACAGCAAGCTGCCGCGTATGTTGAACCTCTTAAAGATAATTTTTTGAGATATTGATAACGGAAGCTGGAATTGAAATATAAAATAATACGCCGATTAATGCAAGATAACTATTATAAGAAGTGTGAAAAATAAACATAGGATAATTTTTTTACCACCATTACCCATTACATTATTGATTAACATATTACTCATGGTTTAAAATAAAACGAAATATGTACATTTAGCTCTAGATCTAGTTATGAACATTGTCACATGTTCGTGAGCCGCAAATGAATTTTCATATTTTTTTTTCAGATCGAGAGGAGGAGGATTTTGGACTCATAACGCCGTGTAAAATGTGTAAAAGAAAAAACATCAACACAGTTTTTGTACCGTGTAGTCATTACGTCACGTGTGAACGCTGTGCACAGAAGGAAAATCATTGCTTGGAGTGTAATGCTCCGATCCTTGAACGCGTTAGAGCATACACATCTTAATTTCACACGGAGAATCGTGTCTGAAAGCTGAAACACATTGTTTAACTTATCGTTGATGTAACACTGCAAAATGTTTTGTTTACTAAACATATGCATTATATCCTGAAATGACTAAACACAAGTTTATTTCTTTATATAAAATACAAATTAGCATCGTGCAATAAAAATAATAAAAATTAAAATAGAAATAAAAAGATATCATGATGTAGACGAGTACCTTAATACATGTAGCAGTCAAAATAAAACATATGTTCTTATTCATCTATTGTTTTTAATAAAGCAATAACAATCATTTGATTGAAAAAAAGTATTATTGTATTCCTTTTGTTGTTTTGATACAAATAAACGATTGTACCTATATGGTCAGATATTTAAGCCGATATTGATTTTCATTTCTGATTATAAAGTATTTATTTTGTTATTTTTGTTTGCTTATTTATGAGCTGCAGCTCTATATTGATTGTTTCATTTTTTGCTCGATCAAAGTAGAATTAACGGCCTTCTAGCCGCCGTGATGTTTACGGTTTTCGCTAACTCTGTTTAGAAGAAAAAAACACACCCATCACAAATAATAAATACCAGTGTTCTTCTGATGCATGGATGTAGCATTAATTGCAAACAACTGCAAAACTGTTCACGTTATATTAAAGATATATAATGTTTAAATTTGATTTTTGAAAATATTCGTCTCTTTTTTAATGTATGTGGCGCCGTTAACGTTGCTAAATGTCTCACTTGCCGCTATATGTTGCGCTTTTGCCGCTAAATATCACAACCGCCGCTAAATGTCTCAACATATTTTGCCGTTAAAAATGGCAATTATGACGTTTAATGTCGCACTATTTTCCCTTACAGTGTCACGACACTACCGTTAAATGTCGCAGTATCTAAATAATTCATGTCAAACTTCTGGTATTATCATAATGTCAATATAAGTGTTGTGTAGGTGATCTGGATCAGAAAGGAAAGGATTTGCGGTGATGTACAGAATAATTGGTTGGTATTTAGTCGTCTTAGTCGGTATCAAAAGTTATGCCATATAGCCCCATTGGCGATAAAACACATTTGTAAACGTGTTTTTATCCATTTAGCAACCCAGATGTCGTGGATTCGAGCTACAGGATCAGCTTGAGAACAATCTAACATACCGAATTTATTCTTGAAAGATTCATTTAAAATTCATTTTTTTATATTTCACCTACAAGGATGTTTGCCTGCAGTTTTATCGGTATTACAGGTGCTATTCTATTATGTATTATTTTTTGCCAAATAAGTTTACAGTTTTACAAATTGAATTGATGCAATCTTTTTTTAGGTCACTTATCCTCTGAAAGTGGCTACAATTCTAACAGTAAATCAGTCTCACACTTTTATTTAGTTATTATTCGTATTGTACCTTATCCACAATTGTGGCTTTAAAGTATCATTTGAAATATTTTTCTTATGACAGAAAAAATGTTAATGCGAAAGGTGCATCTGAAAAGCTTTTTATTGACACGTAGTTTAAGGACAAAACAAGATTCACTATAATCAAATTTTCCTATGTTAGTAAGCCTTTGTTTTGTGATACACTCTTGATTTTAGGTTATTCTTTAGATACATTTTCATGCAATTTGAAATGGCATTAAAATAATGTACTTGGTTTGATTTGAAATTACATTCACTCTGTCATTAAAAAGTGTTTAGTCTTCCATGCACCTATATATCGCATTGATTACTTTTCCATCTTGCGAAAACAATTAACAAATGAAAGTTTTAAGGCATATGCAACAGTTACATAGACATAAAGACAGATTGAAATCTGTATGTAAGAATTCGTGTAAACTTTGAATGAACTTAGATCGAAATAACAACTTATTGATCCCTTTCTCATGAGAGAAGGGGAATACTGTGATGCGTGTATGTGGTCGCACGGTCACTGTCTTACAACATTACATGTGCTCGATGCATGTATGTAGTCGCATGGTCGAAATCTTCTATTTTCAAAAATTGTTTTGGGTACGGTGAAAAATATACTGTTCTTGAAAAAAATGTTAAACTCGTAAAAGCCAAATTAGGGCCTTGTTACTTCTGTTTAGAATTTTAAAAACAACCTTAGACGTTTCCTCTGTTAATTAGGAGTTTGTATGTTGCTAATACACCCAGCTACAACTAATTAGGATTTTTTTCCCAGAAAAGGAGAAATAAACTTAATTGAAAAGGGAGTTCTAAAACCTATTTAGGAGAAATGAAATATTATTTAGGGCTTTCTGGCTTCCAATCAAATGTAGGTTTTTATAAAAAGAGCAAACAAAATTTTCATTTCTCCCTATAAGTTTTTAAATCTTTTAATTAAGAAAGTCCTATTTAGTTTTTAATAGACAGTTAATCTTCACATACATACAGTAGGGTCATAAAGCGACCTTTTAGCTGTACTGGTAGAGGAAGACTTCTGGTGCTCCTCTGTGCACGAACGGAACCTAACAGAACAACTGACGTTCCGTAAGCTAGCTTAATAGCTTCCTCAGATAAAAGATTCGAACCCACAATGGTTAGGGACACGTAGATATAATGACTAGTCCAGTTATAAATTTGCAAAAGTACGCAAAGCAATATACTATAAAGATGAGTATTATATTCACCTAACATGTAGCAACATTAATGTTGATTGCATGATAACAAACCATGAAAGAATTATATGTTGATTATAAAATGTTCTTGAACAAAACACAAGAAATTCATCATAATAAATGTCTTATTAATTCATGTAGAAGTAGATAATTATGTTTTGTTTAAAAAGTATTTGTTAGAATATGTGATATATTTTTTTATAAATATAAATATAAATATTTAAAAAAAAAGACTATTGTAGACAACTTCATTTTTGGTCGGCAGATGGATCAAGATATTTCTTTATGTACCAAAGCTAAATATATACAAACATTTACTCAATGTTTATTGTAATTTAATAACACTAGGTAACTATATTTCTCATGAATATACATCTTGTGGCATTTAACGGCAAGGGAAAATCGTGCGACATTTAACGTTACCATTGCAATTTTAAGATTTTCAAAGGTATTGGCGTGGCCAAGTGGTTAACGCGTCGGACCAGTAATCTAAGGACTGCTGACCATGTGGGTCCAAACGCCGTCAGGGGCAAGCCGTTGTTTTCAAAATACTTTACACTCATTGCTTAGTACTGGTTGGTTCCAGGAACGGATTCGAGAGTTTTTCAATAAGCTTATAGAATCCAACACAGTCGAACTAAAATAAATTGGTATTATCTAAGAGAGGCAGCATTGATTTTTTTGGTGCAGTTGGTAATGGACAATAACAAATGTTAAATTCATTCCCATGACTCTTTGTACCGGCTTAAGATTAAGAAAAACATTGCAAACATTTCTGTATATAATCATTAAAGAATGAAATAAATAACGCTCGGCATGATTTCGCCAGGATACAAAATGATATATTATAATATATATACATATTTAATGATCACTTCTGGGAATGCATCTTCTAGACGAACGTTCATACTTTCTTTAACAAACTTGTAAAAGCTTATTTAAATTTTAAATACCAAACGCTCAATAATTCAGATAATACAGCAATATTTGTAGGATTTTTAATCTGTTCTGAGTAATGCAAGGTAGTTCTCGATGTTTGTCTTTTCAGTGTCTCGTAGGCAACCTTCGTTAACCAGTTCGTAAGCTTTCTCTACATATTGAATTGCCAAACTTTTCTTCTTACGTTCATGAATTCGACCTTTGCATAGGTACAGGACCATCTCCCGTCTTAGTTCTATACCCGCTGACACTTTCTTGACTTCTGAAATGTAAACTCGTGCTTGTTTAATGTCTTCAATTGATACCTCACTTACATCACTAACCTCAAATTCGTGGGAAATCTTTAAATACGTCATCGCCAAAAACAGCAGAATTATCCTCTTCCACTGATTTACGGCCTCTTCGTCTTCACATGTTATAACATGATACATTAACTGTCCATGATCTTTAGCTTTATTCAGAAGGTCTTGTGACCGGTTCACAAAACATAACTCTTGATATGCATATAATACATCATTCAACGCCATTATTGTAGCAAAGCATGGCAAACATCTATCACACATAACAAGTGTTTGCTGGATGTGTTCTTCTGCTTTTATTTGCTGTCCAATTTTAGCGTACGTTACTGCCATTTTGGAATGGTAAGTCAGTTCAAGGGATGTTCTGTCTAAAGTTTGCGTACACGTTTTGTACATGTCATGGAGAATATCAAACCGTTTCTGTAAATCACTGACTCCATACAACTGAACAGAATGCAGATCAATTAACACCTTTTCTTCCAAATGTTTTTGACATATATCGTGTGTTTCGCCCTCATTGAGTTTTTCGATTGCCCGATGTCTCAAATTCGACAGTTTTTGCCGCTTATCCATATTGAAACAATTGTTGTCCACGCATGTTTTTATAAATCGATATCTTTTACTTGAATATTTACTGTAAGGCACGGATACTCTTCCAATACAATTTGGTCTCGCCCCGTATTTACAAAGCAAGAAGATATTGAACAAAAAACAACATTCAGCTGTAAAAAGCGCGATACACACCCTTTCAGTAGAACATTTATTTATAATTAATTGTAGAAATTTGAAAAGTTGCTCACTTTTTGATAACTCTTTCGAGGATGATATTTCCATTAAACGACCATATAAATCGCCATAAATACGTCCACTGTCAGTCAATGAATCAATCAAACACAAGTAATCGATAAACGGAAATGGTTCGCCCTGCACTTGTCTCAACTCTTTTAAAATTACACTTTCCTTTACTCTATCGTTAATGTTATTTGGATTTATATCAATAAACTGTCCCTGCTGCATATTTATTTTATGAAAAAAGCTTTACATTTGTAACTCGCATTTTATACAACATTATCACAGTTATAGTGTATAGTCTACTGCGTTTAGAAACTATTTGAAATAACTAATTAGTATACCCCATTTCATTGGGGTTTTTTAGAATATAAACAGGGAATTGATTAGTTAAAGTCTTTAAATAGATAATCTATATTTAAGGACAAAGTTCCGTGCGCTATAATAGAGTATATAAACAGGAACAAAACGGTATTTCGTGTACGATGACTAAGATAGAATATAGAGATTTTAAAAAACCATTTTCTGTGAAATATGATATAGGTAAATGCTACGTTATAGCGAGTCAGGTTTCAACATTATTTGACACGATTATTTGAAATTTTGCCAATGATTTTGTCAT